GAACAACACCGAAAAGAAACTGGACCTGTTGGTGATGGAAAACCTTTTCTATGGGCGAAAGATGGCACAGGTACATTTATTGAGACTTTAAATTTGCAGCTTATAACTGATTTGAAGTTGGTGTTTCAGAAATACTGTGACAGACAAAAATATTTCAGTTTGGGTCTTTTTATGTTCACATTCTGTTACGTGGTCCTGTTACCTGTGTTTGTGCAGGTGTTTGACCTGAAGGGATCCCTGAGAAACAGGAACGTGAAGACTGAACTAGGAAAGGAGAGCTGTGAGGTGGTGCTCCTGGATGAGAACCTCCTCAAACTGGTGCATGACAATCCCCTTTATATTCGCTCACACTGCAAGGCCATTCTGCGTGCTGCCATCCTCAGTGATGCCCACTTCCTGTCCAGCCACCTCATCATTGATTATTCCCTGTTGGTGGGCCGTGACGATGCCACGAACGAGCTAGTTGTGGGCATCATAGGTGAGAAAATCTTATCTGTTATTTTAAAATCAATATTGGACTTTTCTTTTAGTGCTTGTTAAAACTCTTGTATATTTGAAGATTATATCCGGACTTTCACATGGGATAAAAAGCTGGAGATGGTGGTCAAATCGACTGGGATTCTCGGAGGTCAAGGTACAGTTATACTCTCCTAAAACATTCATAGCCATGGTATTCTCAGAAACTAAAACACTTGCCTTTTCTTTAAACCTATGTTTCATCGCCTTTCCTTCCTGACAGGTAAACTGCCCACGGTGGTGTCACCAGAGCTGTATCGAGCACGTTTCTGTGAGGCAATGGACAAATATTTCCTCATGGTCCCTGATCACTGGACAGGTCTTGGGCTCAACTGCTGATGGACAAGAAGGGAACGTTATAGCTGGAAAGGGATATGCTGCTCTCTCATGTACTTTGCAGTGATTTTATGGAAGACCATAGTGAACCCTCCATTATCTGCGGTGGTGTCTGAAGCTGGGTGAAACTGAACTCCTCTTTCTATGCTTTGTGCACAAATTGACCAAAACAGATGTGCCAAGACCCAGTTCCAGAAGATCCACTGAAGAGACCGAACTGAAATGGCTGAACTTTTAGAACCCTGTTAAGCAGTAGTGTTTGTTTATAACCTATTAACTGTGGATGATGTAAAAGTTTATAAATGTACAGAGATATGTAATTAAAGCTGATTAATACTGGTAAAGGTGTCTTATGATATTTAACTTTATTGTCTGATCAATTATGCATTTAGGACCTGTGCCCAGTTGCAAAAAAAAACAAAACAAAAAACACTAATACTAAGGATCTATAGCTAATGACTCTCTTTAGGGGCTTTTGTGAAAACTACAGATAGTGCTTCTGAGTGATTCTATAATTGCAGGTACATTTGGTGTCCGAAGTCATT